CGGGAGGGAGGGGCCTCCAGCAGTGCTCCTGGGGCGGGTACCACTACTTTGAGTGCAGAGCTTGGGGACTACTGATCAGCCTAACAGACTGAAGCCATCAGCCCACAGGTGGCAGCTTCAGTTGTGGGGCAAGTGAGGTGGCTCAGGGAAGAGGAAGAGCAGAGGGTCTTAACCCTTCACAGACCCTCATTCCAGAAAAATGCCCACATGTACTCCTAACATGAACACACATACAATTTTGTATACAGTGCTGGGGGCTCCTGGAGCCCCCAAAGCAGAGCTAGAGACCCAGATTAAGACCCCCCCTCATGCAGGGTATGAAGAGCAGAGGGCCAAGGGGCAGGGCCAAAGCATCAGCATCGAGAGGGAGGGAAATGAGAGCCAGGAAGATAAGGGGAAATGCCCAGGAGAAAGCTGGAAGGGGAGCCCCCAGTCCTGCCCCCACCACCCTGGGAGCTCATGGGAAGAGGCCTCAGATGTTCAGTAGCCCTAGAGGGCAGCAGGGATAAAATGAGGAGGGAGCTGGCGAGGAGCAGGGGTCTGGGGGTCAGGAAGCCAGAGTTGCAGGTCAGCCATCTAAGAGTATCTCCCTCTCTTACCCTGTCTCCCCCCACCGCACATCCACACACAACCCCCTGAACCACAAGCAGCCAGGCAGGGAGAAATGCCCACTGCCCCCTGTGGTGAGATTTGGAGCCAAGTCAGGGCTGGAGCCAGGGGAGGATGTGGCAGGAAAGATCGATGTAACCATGGCACCCAGCACCCTCCCCCCTCAGCCACAGCCTGGAGCCCAGCCCCGGTCATTACTGCTGCGAGGGAGGAAGGGAGGCCTCCAGGGAGTGAGGCCGAGGCCCCTGGAAGCCTTTTCCTCCCCCTTGCAGCCCAGCCCTGGGGGCAGCTTCCTCCCCGGCCTCCCCTTATGTGGTACCTGAGGTCACCCCTAGGGACCTGCTCCAGCCTGGCCAGCCCCTCTCCCCTGCCCTTGCCCTCCTAGAACACCTTTGCGCTGCCCTGATCCTCCCTTCCAGCCTGAGGCGCCTTGAGGGCTGGAGCAGGGCCCTGGTTACCACCCCTCCTCCCAGCGCCTGACCCACAGCACACGCTCAGTAAAGAATGGCGGGTAAAAGCTCTGGTTTTGAAGTGGGACAGACCCGGTTGGACCCAGCTCTGCCACCAACCAGCGATAATGACCTTGGGTGAATCACTTAATCTCTCTGGGCTTCAGTTTTCCCATCTGTAGAATGGAAGCGTACTACTTGGCTCACAGGGCGCATGTGCCAAGTCCTCTGCAGGGCACGAAGCCAAGGCTGCAAAGTGGCCCCGCGCTTAGGGAAGGTGCCTGGTCCCTCCAGCAGGACCCGCGGGGGGCTGTCTCTGAGGAGCTAGTTCTCCCTGACCCCCGGAGCAGCGGGCCGCAGCCTGGAGACCCGGGTCACCGCGCAGCGCCCCCAGCCCCACCCGCGCGGGGCGCCGCCCTCCGCCTCTCCCCTCCTCCCGCACGGCTCTCTCCGCGGTCCGCAGCCGGCTGCCCCCGCCCGCCAGCGCCATTATTAATTCATTAGGAGGAATCGGCGTGGAGCCTGCAGTCAGAGGCCCCTCGTTAACCCGCCGCCCCTCCCCCACACGGGCGGGCCGGAGCCGCCCACCGCAAAGGTGGGGCTGGGACCAGCTGTCACCCCATTACCCACGCACGCGGGGGCACCAAAGGAGATGCAGGAAAGGGTTAGGAGCCCCCTGTCTCATAGTTCCCTTGGAGACGTGGTTTCCCAGAGTTTTAATGACACAGCTGACCTAGACACAGTCCCTGAAGTCGCGTTGCTGTCAGGGCTTTTCCCAGCCTCTGCTTTTTTATCCCAGGAAGACCTGGGACCTCTCCCTGAGCAGATGCCAGATTCCCAGGCTGGGAAATTTCTAGCTCAAGCAGGCCCCCAAAGGGCTCCGGGCCCAGGACAGAGCCCCAGGTCAGAAAGACACTTGTGGGCTTCATCTTTTAATGAGGGGGGGTCACCTTGGCAAGGTTGTGAAGAGCAGAGGCCTGTGGAAAGGACAAACCCTGTCCACTGGCTCAGGGGAGACTCGGGGCCGGAGGGGGCAGTGGTCCCTGTGAGGAGGGCTGTGAACCTTCCCGGCTCACAGCGTTCCCAGAGTTGCGGGGGCTGCAGGTGCGCACCACATGCGTGCTGGGGAGCAGCCCCGTGTCCTGCAGCCTCAGATTCCTAATGAGCTAGATGCAGCTGATAAGACTTCCTCACAGGGCTGCTGTGAGGACGAAATGACAAAAATGCTCGGCCCAGTGTCCGGAACGCAGCACATGCTTAATACATAGTAGCTAAGGGATCCTGAGCTCACGTGGGCACATCTCTGGAATGGGACCACCCGATTCCCATCCCTCTCACACAGGGGACAACAACCCTGCCTTCCTGGTGTCACGGTGCAGCAAGCACCAACCCAGGAGTCAGGATACCTGGGTCCTGGCCCTTTCTCTCCCCTTACTAGCTGTGTGACCCTGGGCAAGTCACTTTCCTCTTTGGGCCCTTGGTTTCATCATCTGTAAAATGAAAGGGCTGTGCTTTCTTTTTTGGCAACAGAATCCTCTCTTCAAACAAAATCTTATTAAATGTCAACATCATACATAAAACAGATAAAAGTAGCTCATTTGCATAATCTTTAAAAGTGTAAAAGTGTAACATCCACTTATAAAGTCAATCAATGAAAACAATGAGTTTTACACAAAAAATTTAGAAAAACAGGATTATGGCTGACAGGTCAGCCTGAGCATCCCTTTGTTTCTGAAGGTTTCTGGTTGCACAATACTGAGAAGATCCTGGCAGGAGATGTTTTCTTTGAGGGTCTGTACAAAACAGGGTTAAGGAGGCAGTTCAGGGTACACACGGAAGGTCTCTAACTAGGGTCAAGGTTTGATTTGTAGCAATTGGAGGTTATGGGGATTTTTTAATCATTACTTTAAAATCTTTTTTTTTTTATGTGAATCAAAGCTTGTATACTGTGATCCACCTCTCCAGAAACCCAGGGCTCCAAAGAACAGTGTGGAAACCACTGGACCCTAACTCTGACCTGACCCCAACCCTAACCACCACCCTGCCAGCCTTGTCCTCACTCATCCCTGCAGCTCCCCACAAGTGTTCCACCTCTACCCTTGGCCCCAGCCCCTCCTGCCCACACCCCGCACAGCTTTATGCTGTCTGTCCCTGGCTGAGCACACCTGGGTACTGCAGGGGGATGTCGATCTTGGGCCCAATGACGTAGTGGCCCTCCTCCAGGGTGTGGGCTGTCACCGTTGTCCACTGGCGGCAGGAGTGGATGAGCAAGATGTCTCGCTCACTGACACCCTCAGCATATTCCCCTAGGAAGGGAAAGGGGGACAGAGGAGGAGGGAAAGGAAGAGAGAATGTTAGGAGGGGCAGAAAGAACAGGCAGGTTGACCTCCTCACCTCCTCACCAAGACCCCGCCTGGGGACAGCTCCGCATCATCCCTGTCCAGGTCAGTAATGCTCAAGGAACATGCGGGCTGCCAGCTGTGACCTACAGGCTGGGAGTCAGGCTCTGTGTCTCTCAGTGCTTGGAATCCTGCTGGGGCCCCAGCAACCAGCCCAGCCACGGTCCCTCATTCATCATTTGATTGGAGGGCCTGCTGTCCCTGGCTCCGTGCTGGGGCTGGGGGCTCCCACAGTATGAGCCCGGCCAGCCCCTGACCTCCAGGAGCCCTTAGGCCCCAAGGGAGGTAGGAAGACATATAACAGAAAACAGTGGCAAGTTTGAGGCACTGAGTGGAGGATGTCTGGGACTCAGAGAGGAGAGCAGGAGACTCTGGCTGGGGGTGGGTTGAGGAAGGGAGACATTCATTACTGAGTAGCGGACACTTGAGCTGGGCCTCAGGGCCAGGCAAATTCACTCTGGCAGAATTCTCAGCCCCCAAGTCAATGCCTAGGCCAGGCAAGGAGGGCTTTGTTGGAGCAGTGGAGAGGGCCAAGAAGGGACTGTCTCTTGTGGGTCCCAGCTGTGAAAGGTCCCCCAGAGCCATGGGTCAGGAGAATGGCAGGACTTAGGGGAGCTGATTCCTGGCTCTGTCACGGGCAGCCCTTCCTTTCCACCCACTGCCATGGGGACCTCAAAGGAGAGGGGAGAAGTTCCCAGATACCCCTAACTCCATCTCAGAGAAGCTGCTTCTTAGCTGTCCCTCCCGTACCCTTCATCCTCCCAGTCACAGTGATGATGGCGGGGGTGGGGGGGGGCAGAGAAGGGGGCAGATTTAGAAGACAGGAGAGGGGAGCCCAGTCCTGGGGGAAGCTGCCCCGGGGCAGAGGTGTTGGGAATTGGGAGGGGCCTGAGCCCAGGAGGCTCCAACCTCAGCAACGGTTTCCAGGGGAGCAGGAGGGGTGGCCCAGCTTCCAGGAGGCTGATGGGGCCGTCTCCTGGCTGCAGCTGGTGGGCAGGGTGGGGGTGGGGGACGCCACCTTCACCACATCTTTCAGACACAACTTACTAAATGTCTGCCACCCAACCAAATGGGAGATGGTTTACCCTGACAGCTGGGGGCTTCATGAAGAATGTGTATGGGGGTGGATGGGGGGTGTTCAAGGCCTGCAGGGAGGGCCTGCCTCCCCTTGTGCGTGTGTGCGCGTGTGTGTGTGTAGACAGCGAGTGTTGTCTGAGCCTTCCTCCTCAACTCCTCACCTCCTGGGGCGGAGGAAGCTCTCCTCTGATTCTACAATCTCTTTTTAGAGCTCCAGCCCACTCTTCCACGGGGACACAGGCCACAGACACACAGACACACACCAATAGCCCTGGGTCAGGATCATCAACAGTTGAACCATGACAGCCCAAAGGTCACAACTCAGTCTAATGGTCCCACCAAGGGGCCTCTCCCCAATGCACAGACACACAGGACCTTCAAGGCCACACAATTTTGATCACATATTCACACCCTAATGGTGACTGCAGCCATAGCCACACAGTCACAAACACAGCTGGGCCATCACAGCAGTTGTCCCTTCACTCATTCATTCATTCTCTCCATAATCTTTGTTAGGCAACGATGCCCTCCTCGAGAAGGTGCAGCCCGGGAGGAAGATGAGAAACAGGCCATTATAATGGGGTGCACACGGAAGACAAGACAGGGGTGCCGTGAGATGTCAAGAGGCCAAAGGAGGCTCTACCCAGACTGAGGAGCTCACAAAAGACTCCCAGGAGGGAGAGATGCCAGAGAGGATGTGTGGGAAGTGGCCGGGAAGAACCTGGGGGCACAGCCCATTCACTCGAAGACACTTGCAGCTTTGCTGCGGACACGGGCGGCCTCAGGATCACACGCTGACCATCGGTGACGGTCCGGACAACGACACGTAGGACTGCCGGGCACCTGTGCCCGACGGCCCGGGCACGGACGCTCCTACGCAGCCTGCTCCGGACACGCGGGCGCTCACTGTGCCGCTCCTGGCCGCTGCGGGCCGCAAGAGGGGCTTTCGGGCCCCGCGGACAGGAGAGGGGACTGCGGGCCCCATTAGCATTCAGGGAAGCGAGTGTGCCAACGCGGGCCAAACCCCTATTCTTCTCACACACAAACCCCCCGGCCTGGCTGCCAGCCCCGGCTCCCGCCCCTCCCCCAGCCAAGCAACCCCCTTCCTCCAAACGGTCCCCTCGCTCCATGCAGCCTCCAGGCGTCCCCTCTCGGGGCCCCATGCATGGTCCCATCAGCAGAGCAGACAGGGGCCCCCGGACCCCATGGAGAAGTGGGATGAGATGTGGGGGAGGGCCGGGGATCTAGGGGACACGCCCGGCAGGGGTCCTGGGGGCACTCCCGAAGATGGCCCGCCCGCCCCAGAGGACCGGGGGCTGCTCCCTAGGATGCGAAAGGAGGGTGCGAGAAGAGCCCCAAAAGGGGTGGATCGGGGCCGGGGGGTGACGGCGGGGGGAAGCCAGAGTCTGAGGCCCATGGGATGCGGGAGGACCGAGGTGAGAGGCCGGAGACAAAGGGACGGAGGGGGGCGCGGCCGGGGCGGGGGGCCGTGGGGCGGCGG